GAAACAAAGCAATGGCATGGCTTATGAATAGTTTGGTTAATTAGTTATAATTAGTAATAAGCCCATGAATGCTTAGGACTATTAAATATCTTTGTTCCTTTGTATAGCCCAGTGGGTTTTGGATTGCAGTTTATAGCAGTATAGATTGATAAAATGCCATAAAAATTTGACCTACATTGACAATAACATTTGAAAGGCCTTACAGCCTCTGGACTTAGGCTTATGTTTGTAGTGGGAATCAACAGCTAAGCTGTTAGCAAACAGTCCAGTGTTTCAGTTTTGGTTGTCTAAACAAGCTGGCATGTAAATGCTCTGGCTGAAGTTTGGGAAGCAATGGATGCAGAAGATACTCAGCAGAAGTTAAATGTTGTTGAAGAGCAAACTTTCCATAGAAAAGAGACGCTCGGTGACTCTCCTGGTAGATGCTAGTATTTGTAAGCTGCAGGAGAAATTTTAGCAGCCCAGATTTGAGACTCGTTTAATATGGCTTGCAGGGGTTTCTGAGCATTGTAGCTGTATCTTGCTTTATAAGTTGATTTGCTAATAATAATCAGGAAAGTAGCAAACGAAAAATTCACAACTACTTTTATTTAAATATGTTTAACTAAAAAGCCCTTTTGCAGTTTCACCTTTACTATAAAAATGGGGTTTCTGCAAAATAACTTCAGGACAACTCCTTCAAAGACCCTGCTCCACTGCATGCTGTTTCCGCTGTTACAGGAAAGAGAAGGGTGTTGGTTTACAATGGTCAGAAGCCCCAAGAGGAGAGGAGGGGAGAGGATGGGTGGGCAAGAGCACCGTGCTCTTGGTCTGTTCTCTGCTATGTCCCAAAATCTCATGAATGCACATTCCCAGTGTTCCAGATTTCCAATGTAAAAAATGGACAGCACTTACTTCAGATCAAGAGAAATAATGCACATCAATAAGAAGAAGAAAAAGAAGGGAATAAAGAGTTGTATGACTCAGATACTCAGACTAACATAATTCAAAAGGAGGGTCCCCGCAAGCTGGCAGGTGTTCAGTCGCACTAATTATGCTATAGAAGCAATAGTAGTATAATTTCACACTTGCAAACCTACTTTTGTGATGATTAGTACATAGCTCCACAAATTTGAAATGTATCTTGAACCAAAATCGTCCCGGTGAGTGTAGTTATGCACACTCTGTCTGAAAAGATTGTGATACAGGGATTCATATTTCATCTTTTGTGCCTCCCCAAAGGTGTTCAGTATGCTGAGCTGAACCAAAAATACCCTGATCTGGTTTGTAAATGCTTTGAATGAAAACCACCAAAAAAACAGATTTATCCAGCCCAGTATTAGACCTAACTGAGGCTCCTATGTCAGCATGTTTGCTAGAAACTTCCCAGATAAGTAGTGGAAAATAACAAACAACTCCAGAGGTGCTTGTGACTATGCAGGGGGAGAAGTGGGCCTCCACTGCAAACAGCAACCCATGGTCAAATGGGATTGAAGATGGGCCCTTGGCCATGAGAGTTTTTGTTATGGCTCTGTTGTGGCTTAGCTCGGTCAAATCTTGCTGTGCAATTACGTCAGGGAAGAGTGTACTAATAAGAGAATTGTGTTCGTCACTTCAGGTTCCTCAAGATGAATGGACTGGATACACTCCACGAGGGAAAGATGACGAGATTCCCTGCCGACGAATGCGGAGTGGCAGTTACATCAAAGCCATGGGGGATGATGACAGTGGAGACTCAGATACAAGTCCGAAGCCATCTCCAAAGATTGCTGCACGGAGAGAGAGCTATCTCAAGGCCACCCAGCCATCCCTTACAGAGCTCACCACCCTCAAGTAAGTCCGCGTTTTACTACATCACGTAGAGCTCTCCATTAAGACATACAGTTTCTGTTCCTATTTGTTTCTACTCTTTATTTCTAGGTACCAGTTAAGGAAAGTATTTAAACAAGTGTGTTCGGTCATGCTTATTTTTGGTTGGTTTTTTTCTGAACAAGAGTAGATTTGGGAATGTATTTCAGTGTTATTCTGAAAAGGGACCCTACTACCTGTGCTTTCAATTTGCAAAGTATTTCATCCTGTTAGTGTTAAGTGAGTATTCAGGTATGTACAATAGGTTTGTTCTTTAAATACTTTGGCCTGCGAAAGCTTTGCATAATTGTGTATTTATATATACTCAACATGTGAAATTAGCCCTAAGCTAGTCTTTGCAACTCATCAGAGAGCATCTGACATTTAATTAAAAAGAACAATGGCTGTCTGAAAATAGACAAATCCAGGGTTTCCACTCTTTAGTTCACCCGGAATTGCACTGTATTTTGTGGAGAGATATAACCAAAACTGAAATTTTTTTAATCATTTATGAAAGCTTTGGTCAAGATGAATGATGAAGTTATGTTTTTTTAATGACACTTTGTGTTTTTCTTTTATTTGGGCCTTTTAAAAGAGCCACCCAAATTCTCATGAAAATTGCACAAATTGACAATTTTGGTATTAGTGTTTAAATGATTCTAAAATTGAGAGGTTCCCTAAAGCAAGAAAATAAATTATATCTATAAAAGAAAATAGTGTGGATTTAAATCAACAATTGTTTCTGTCTCTCTTCTGCAAAATTCGTAGCTATAATAGTGAATCATGGTTCACTGAACCAAAAATAACCTAATTTTAGTTTAACTTGCCTAAGGCTGTACCTTTCAAATGGAAAAAAAAAGAGCTGTATCTCTTCTAGTATCCATGATTAGTGAAAAAAGACTCCTTCTGCATTTCCCTCATTAATTTCCTCTCCTTCCTTGTCCTCCTCTACCCCATTTTTTTCCCAGAGACCTTATCTGAGAAACAGATTTTGGAGAAAAGCAGTTGATCCTTTTTAAGAATGTCATGCTCTTGACATCAGTGATGAATAGACCAGCAGACAAAAACATGCTTATTGCAGCTCCCCATAGCAGCCTGCCTGACTTTGTCCCAGGGGAAGCCAGGAATTGCTTCTGCTCTGTCTTTCCATTAGTGTCCAAAGGAGAAAGCAGTCTCATTTTCTGCAGGGATTTTCATAAGCTAGCTGGCGCTTGCTCAGGGGATCCAGTGATTCCTCTCATCATCCAGCAGACTTCACCACATCCTTTACTGAGCCGAAACTCCTCCTCTGAGATCAGTTTTTGCAACCTCTGCAAGGTGAACGTAAATGTTACGTACCACCACAAACTCCATAAAGCCATGTTTTGTGCATGGACACACTATCAGTCACGGAGCCTTTAGAAACGTATGTTCCATAGTTCTGTAATGTATATGTGAAGTACAATGCATCACAGTGAGTGTATTTGCTCTTGGTTATTTCTGTTCCCTGTAGAGATGAGATTTGCAAAAGAATATGGAATTATTAAAAATAAAAAGTCCTGCATGTCACTGTTCACCCACAGAGGATGTTAGATCAGAGGGGCTAGGCAGCAGAAGCTTTTGGGTTTAGCTTTGAAGTCATTGTAATTCAGCAAAGTGCTTGTACGAATATTTCATTTCACACGTTTTTTAATCCCTTCCTATTTGGGAAAGCTTTTAGGAATGTGCTTAATTTTAAGCTGCACTCTATAAAATTCATGGAAGTTTAGGAGCTATGCAGAAGTAGGATGTAAATCACAGGGTAGAAGAAGGAAAGGGAAAATGGTAAATGGCAGTAAAACAAAAAAGAGGTCAAAATATGAAATAACTTTTCTTTTTCAATGACTTTTCAGCATAAATTGGGATGAAATAGAATTATTTCTTTTAATCTATGATGATACTTTTTAGAAGTATCTTTTCCTGGGGAACCTTTCCACTTTCAGAGACAAATTGTATAATACATAATTATGCATTGCTTTTATTCCTTTCTGCTGAACATGATAATTTGGCTTGGGTTTGGTTTTTTTTTTGTGAGAACTAGCCAAGTGCTTGCTCTGGGAATTGAAGTCTTCTGTTAAGCTAGGTCTTTTTTGCAGACTTCTTCATACTTTCTTAGTAGCATGACTTGACCTTGACCATGACATTGCTTGTTCATCCCAGGGCTACCCTGGTTACTCTGAAAGTTGTGATAGAGTTTTGCTGGCATGTCAGCCAGAGACTAAATTAGGGCCCCTAACTCACTGAATGTAGGTCATCAAGCAATTGTGTAATGTGTGATAACAAGTTATTTCCTTGGCTTACTATTGACTTGAGTTCAATTTGCACCTGAATAAGAGCTTTATGGAAATGAGCCAAAAGCCACTCTAGTCAGCAGGCAGCCTTTTGCTGACACCGGTGGACTTTCTATCTGACCTTGCAGGACATTATTAACACCTTAAAGCTGAGTGGCATTTCACTCCTTTAATTATGTTTTTTCTGTCAGTGAAAAAGCAGTGTTTCTACAGTGGCAATTGTCAGGGATCTTCTGCACTTCTTTCTGCTACTCTCTTTCTCTGTTTTCTGTATGCAGTCTCTAGTTGGCTTCACTTTCATCTTTGGCAGAGCAAACAACTTAAAAACATGTTCCCTTTTGCTTTCACTGTTGTTTTTGAAGGGATTTTTAATCTTGTGGGACTTTTCCTCTCTGAGTACTTGAAGTCTAATATTGGTCTCACAACCTACACTGCTCCTCCCACCTACCTACCTACCGTTGCTCATGCGCCTACTCTTCTAAGAAAGGGGTTTCATTTTTACCAATGTTTCTTTTTATATAAGGAATAACTTTTGAACAGCACAACTGTGTCATATCTCCTTTACGTAATACAAATTTATTTTCCTGTTTTTGCTGAGGTTTTCTTCTTGCTATACCTTACAATCTTCCTCCTACAATATTCCTCCCATGCCGTGGTTTCCATGTGGTTACAGCACATGTGTCAAATGCTGTGGTACCATTCTGAATAAAGCACAGCTTGCTGTCATCTTGAAATGCACACCTCCGCGGCTGCACTCTCATTATCCTACCAGGACGTAAGCAGCTTTTTCCCTCTGTCTTTGCTGGCAGTATCCTCTTGGTGTTTCATCTTTCACAGTCTAGATAAACTGATCCAGCTGAAAAAAAGGGACATTTTCTTGCCCATTCCTGAAAAGTGGCAAAAGTTTATCTTGCACTTGTAAGCAGGTGGCAAATGGACCGGTTAGCTAACTTCTAAAGAAGGTGCAGGCAACAGATAACTGACGTTTCTATTACAGCTGAGCTTGATTCAGGACATATTCCTTCACTATCTATGCGTGCCTTGGTTATGTTTAGCCTGGTTTTCTTTGGAAAAAGAGTATGCAATTACATTGTCTGCCCACATGCCAACCTGTCACCTCCACCTCCCAGTAACTTTTGAATCCATCGGCCATCTTTAACCAAGTATGCTAGAAGGACTGAAGCCTGAAAGATACGAAGTTCCAGCAAACTTTATGAAGATCTGTAGCTGGATAAGGCAGGGAAAGATCTGCAGCCGTCCCTTACGATCTCTTGAAGGAGTATGGGCAAAGTAGCTGGTGAGGCAGCACAAGGTATAACTTGATGGCAGCACTTTTCCAGCCTAAAAGAGGAGGAATATGGAAGGGACTGGAAAACTCTGTTGAGGACAAGAGGTCTAGGAGATGGATCCTGTTACCATAGTTTTTCTACTTCATTCTGCCCCTTTCCTCTTCTCCACTATTTTAAGCACACTCACTGCTTAAAATATGAGTTCAGATTTTGCTTCCTAACTCAATATTGCTGCTACTGTGAGAACTTGAGCCACTTGAGTCTTCTGCACCTCTTTTTTTAAATTTTTCTAAAATATTACAGCGTTTAATGGTAATCCATTTGTGGACATTTTGCATGGATTTGGGGTTATATACGGCTGCAGAATTGTTCCTTTGAACTCATATTTCTCATACAAACTTTTTTCTGAGACAAGTTGTACTCTCTGATCACCTGTGTATTGACAATTTCAATGATTTTGATACTTGGGAGATGCATTTGAACCACTCAGAAAAAGGAGAGAAGGAAGAACAGAAATGAGTTTTTTCTTAACAAATCTCTATTTTCAAGGTATTTTAATAGACACATCATGTTTTTCCAGTCAGCTGTGACTTGGAGAAACACAATTATAAACACCACAGACACTTTTTAATGGGCACCAAGTTACACCACTGATGATGAAAAGAGTATGTGAGCATATAAGCAAAAAGCATTAGGCTTTTCTTTTTTTTATCCCATGGTAAAGAATTCGTCTATGTAACTTCCATCATAGCTGCATCTATTCCTGTGATTTACTGCATAGATGAGTGATACTTAGAATAAACCAACCAATTCCTAACTTTAAAGTTTATCAGAGACATTCCAAAAATAATATCTTAAAATATGTGTATGTTATTTGTGTACACCCAGGCTTATATTTTTTATGTGCTAATAGAAATACCGTAAGTACTTTCTACTTGTATGTTTATAGGAATCTGAAAATAAAATTGTTTTGAAAACCTCTGTGCCATTTTTCTTAATATCCTATAAAATCACAGTAAACAATCAAGCTCAATTAAGAGGCAGAATCTGGTAGCAAACTTAGTAACAGTGACAAAAGCAAGAAGAAAGAGGTAGATCTGATTTACACATCCTGAGTTCCAACTTTTCATCACCTGTCTGAGAATTGATCAGGTCAGTTCCTGGAGGACAAGCCTTCGAGCTAGGGTCAACCTATATTACAAGTCAAATCTTGACAGAGTTGCAGGACCAGCTCTGCTAGGATGACTTGCAAAAAAAGATCCAGCCATCCCATTGTTACATAATATAAGATGTTTCAGCTAGAAAATCCCCTGATCCTTGTAAAAGTCAAAGAAATTACGATCAAAATAGTTTTATAATCTGTAAAGCTCCCAAATAATTTTGTCTGGTGG